TCGGCTCAGGTCGTGATCCCAGAATCCTGGGATCGAGTCCCACATGGGGCTCCCGGCTCGGTGGGAGGCCTGCTTCTCCCTCTCCCACTCCCCCTGCTTGTGTTCCTGCTCTCGCTGTCTCTGTGTCAAATAAATAAATAAAATCTTTTTTTAAAAAAAAAATTCCTTTGTAAACTTCCTTTATCTCTACCCCCCAAGATACCTGTTGGCAATCATCGCCCAAGCATATGACCCACCGATACACATCTGAAGGGACTCATGACTGAGATTTTGTTTTTACTAAACAGTAATAAATGACCTTTACCTAACAATAGCTGGCCCCCTCAAGGTCCTGGAAACCTTGTTTTCAAAATACCTTGGAGGCTTGTGCTATCCCTAAGCCCCTCCCAACCTGAAAGCACATAATCAGCCACTCCTCATGAGCCCACTGCAGCTCTTTCTGCCAAAGGTCCTGTCCCCGTGCTTTCATAAAATCGCCTCTTTGTACCAAAGACGTCTCAAGAATTCTTTCCTGGCTGTCGGCTTCGAACCCTAACATCTTTCCTACATCACTTGAAAGAGGGCTGGGAAAAGCAATAAAGTAATTAATACATAGAGATCATTACCATAGAAAGAGAATTTATGCTTGGGGATCCAGTTTGCAGCATTGACAGATTTTTCAGAAGTGTGTTATAAACAACCTGCAGAGGACTGATGATGCACTAGTCTGTATTAGAAAATTAGAGTGGATTCAGTGAGTAGATCTTAGGCATCCTAAGTATACATTACAATATACTATCCATTTGTGCATTTAGGTTGGCCAAAGACTTTGGCTGAGGATCTTTTCATTAGAAAAATAAAGATGGCTTTGTATTTGAGGTCACCTTGTGTTTGGGCATAAGCACTTTTTATTAATGTGATGATTTGTTGAAGGACAGTCTCCCTAACTACACAGTAAGAGCCACCAGAACACAGCCCCTCTCCATCCTCACTCCTGCAGCACCTCTGGCATTTCTCATGATACAGAACATTGAATACTTGAGTTGTCTGAGACATAAGATTACTTATTTTCATAATTGCATGACATGGACAACACTGGAGAAACTAAAACAGAAATTTTAATATAAAGCATCTTAATGAGAGATAAGATGTTTTAATAACCTTTTACTCTATTGTTAATCAAGATGAGAATTTTCTTTATTCTTTATAAATCTAAAAAAACCCTTCTTTCTTTTTTTTTTTCCTCTTCAGAAATTCAATGGTTCACATTTATACGATGATAATTCTGAGACCTGTATTCATTACAGTTTACTCATTGGGAAATTCCAAGTTTAAAAAAAGCTATTCCCATCAGAGTTAGACATAACGATGAAAAGTATTAAAAGAACTACTACTTACTGAGCATGTACACCCATTATTTCAGTTAACCCTGCAACAATCTTATGAATTAGCTGTTATCCTCATTTAACAAGTAGGGGAAACTGAGGCCTTGCAAGCCTAATAGTCAACCTTGACCACTGGTCAGACATTGGAATAAGAGCCTTACAGACACTATCTCATTAAATTCCCACAACAGTTTTAGGACTATTATCATCTCTGTTTTACAGATGAGAAGACAGAGGCAAAAAGTGGGGTAAGGTAAGACTAGAGAGTGCCAGGATGTGAGCCCAGGCAGCCTGCCCCAGGATCCCCCTGGATAACCACTCCACTGTGGTGCATCGGGAAGATGGGAGCAGCCAGTGGGAACTTGGAAAATGGATTTATTCCAGGCTGTGCAGTATGTGCTATGAAGGGAGGTTATTTCTATCTTTCTTCTTTTGCCTTCCCAGTTGTTTTTCCCCTGCCCTCCAGAGGAAACTGGTCACTGTTTTAGTAGCTTTCTTGTTCATTTTCTTAGCACCTATTCATTGAATCTTTAAAGGAAACATTTTGCTACTGCAATTGGTGTACACAAGTTGGTTGCATAATAGGAAGGAAACAAGCCAGGGCTGGAGACTTCATTTCTAAAGAAGGATTCTAGAGCCGACTAAGAGTTATTTCACAGAGTGGGTCATGAAACTCCAGTCTCTCTATACCCTTTCATTGCTATGACGACAGGCTGCTCCTGCTACATGTAGCCAGAAAAAGCAGCTGACATTTCAATGCGAGGAGCGTAGGGGAGAGGTTTACAAAAACAAAAAACAAAACCCAAACCCTTTCGTTTGAATTTCAGTTAGAAAGGAAAAAAAATACCCCCAGAGCAAGTCAAAACCCCTATTCTTTCCTTTAGAAAAGATAAGAAAGGAGAAATGTTGGGGGCCTTCTCCCCTGTCCAACTAGGCCAATAAAACAGAACTGGCTGCAAAGCAGCATTTCGTCTCTCTCTCTCTTAATGGCAATCTGAAACAGAAAACTCCCCTTGGTTTCACTTGACTTGGCCATTAAGAAGCAACTAATTGATAAAGGAATAAAAGACTCACGGTAATAAATACGTCATGTTGAGCCCCCGCCCTCCCCCCCCCCCGGGAATCCAGTAGAATCAGATTTATTTTTCCATTTCTTTGGGTAAAAAAAGACAATTCAAAGAATATTTCCTTCTTGACCCCCAATTTTGTTAGCAGAAAAATAATTTCAAGTGCATAACCGAACACTTTCTCATGGCATGCCCCTCTGCCAGGTGTTATACTTGGTATTTAAAAAAATCTCATTTAATTCCTACAACAACTGCATTTGTGGGCATTATTACCACTACTTGCTTAATAGATGGGTAAACTAAGAGACCTTGAGGGAAAACCTATAGGAAATTCCCTTCTTACAGAGTTCTAGTTGGGACTTATAGGTAGGGTAGTGTTTTCATATTAACTATGATTGATTGATTACTTCATATGCACCAGGCCTAGCTGTTTTCTTGACTTAATATCACCACAGATCTCTGCGGTGGCAACTAATTTTATGATCCTCACTTCCACAAATGAGGGGACTGAGGTTCAAAGAGTCATTTGCCCCAAGTCACAGAGCCTAGTAAAGCCCAGATATAAACCAGGTCTGTATGTTTCCAGAGCCCCTGATCTTACCCACTTTATTCCACCATCTCCCTACAATCAGTCAAGACCACACATTCTGTTCCCCAGAGTTCTGTCCATCTTTTGATGCCCAAGACAAAAGCCAGGCTAGCCCCAGCTGGTACTACCATTGCAAGCTGAGCCTTTGGTGGAAGATGCCCTGCGGGCCTGTATGAACCAGACCCTAGCTTAGCTGGGCATCTCTTGGACTGCCAGTCCTATTGGGAAAGTTCTTCTGGATTTATGGGGCTCCTTTCTCCTTCACTGAAGGTTGTTCCAGAAGGATATGTGAAGGAAAAGGGCACCTGAAGTCTTTCAACAGCAGTTGTTTCTGTTCTTCTTCGTGGAAAAAGATCCCTAACATGTTCTGGACATTGTGCTAAACTTAAATAGCAATGCTTGTATACTGTTACAAATTAATGGAATAAAAATGACAAGCTGTCAAGAGGAAATGAAATGAATAATGTTCGGGCCTTGTCTAGAAACATCGCCATTCATTTCCTTTCTATCATCACTGTCTTTTTACGTAGTTGATAAGTGGAGCTGCACATGAGAAAGATTGGGGATTGAATCCCAAAAGACCTGGAAAGGAAGCCTTAGTAATTGCTGAATGGCTGTACAGAAATCCCGTAACAGAAAAAAAGGGCAAGAGTCATTAATAACATGTACATATTGTTTTCAAAAATGTGGGAAGTAGCATTAGTTGACTGGACGATAAGTGGATGAAATAGATTGCTTTGCTTTGCTAGATCTTGTTGAATGAACAGAAATATAAACTTAAATCTTTCCTAAGAGGGGTATCTTTTTTTAAAAATAGTCATAGTTAGCAATAGCCATTACCATCAAAGTTTAGGTGAATAAGCTCTGAACTGAAAAAAAGTTGGTATCCAAGAGAAAGGGGAGAATTAAAAAAAAAAGAAAAAAGGTTTCTGCTGAGTAGGATTGAGTGAACATTTCTAGTCAGTGTACTTAGGCCGTGGGCCAGAGGAAAGCTCAGATACAATGCCAAGATGACATACTTAACCTCTTTGCAGATTAAAGGCAGTGCAAAAGAGATACTCTTTCCGCAGTACCCCTTGGTTAGAGTATCAACAGCATCAATCTGCAGTTGAAAGCATGGTATTCTCCTGCAGGGGGACCTCTAATACCTAGGAGGAATGAGTGAGCATGACTTGCATTACTGTTTTTTATTTTAGTAGAGCCAGAAATGATAGTACCTTACACTAGAGGAGTTACCATAATCTCTTTAGCTCTTTGGTTCCCCTCCCACCTCTTTCCCTCCCCAAATAAGACATCATTAGAAATTAGAGAAATTTTATGTGGGTGCATCTTAAAAAATGGTAGAAGGAGACAAGCGACCATTAGTCATGAAAGTATAAAACAGAGTTAGGAAAGGAATAATAGTCATAATAACTAAAAAAATAATCAAAGATAATAGTAGTATAGGCATTTTCCTACCTTTTGGAAAAGCAAAATGTTCCATTTCTACATTGATGTTAGGTAGTACAGACTGGGACAATGGTGGTGATGAAATAATTTCAGGTAATTTAAACATGGAAAATGCTTTGATTTGAAAGTTAAAAGAAAAATTACATCCCTTATGATTTCTTTAATATATTTAATAAAATATTTCTAAAAAACCCATTTCTGGATTCAGACTTCACCAAGATCTGAATGTTAATCTGGCCAACAACAGTTCTACATTTATGTTCTTGGTCTACATTAAAAACCATCATTTATTACTACTTATTGTTTAATCTTGGAGAAGAAAAGGAAACATGAATACGAGAGTTAAACTTTCCTATTAAGTAGCTTTTCTCTAAGTCACACAAAAGGTTTGTGGGTTTTTGTTTTTTTTTGTTTTTTTTTGGTAAATAAATGGCTTTGTACTAGGAAAAAAATATTAGACATCTTCATCAGATCATGCAAATTAGTGTAACAAATGCAATTTGATGATATAGTAAACTTATTAAAATTTACCTTCAGGGATGTGACTGGACCCAGAGCCTTGATACAAAATTGGAGTTGAATCCCTTCTTTGCACACAGCCAGGAAATAAAAGTTTGATAAATATGCAATACTCTTTAAAAAATCTCTTCACCCGTTAGCTCTGCTTCTCTGCCCAGAAACACATTCGAGTCTGTTGGAGTTGAAATTCTGCTGCTCTGTCAACTAGTCAGGGTCTGAGGTGACAGACAAATGTGGAGGTTGGCACCGGGGTGTATTTCAGGCTGTCATCGTTTTTGTTGCAGATTCCTGCAGTTCTCTGGCAGGCTGGCCTCTCTGAGGGTGCAAGCTTTCCAGGCAGTGCAAGCCAACAGGGAACGAGCTCATTCTGCCCGAGATGAGGGGGTTAACAGTCCTCTCCTCTAGCTCTTGTTCTCAGAGGCTAATAACTTGGCCAGAACAGAAGCACGTGGCTCTTTAGGCATTTTTTTTCCTTTTTCAAACAACTCTAAAAGCAAGCAGGATCCCTTTTTTGGGGATTTTTATTTTAAGACTTTGAAAAGAAACTCCGCTGTTGTTTCTTCTTAAAGGAAATTGGGGGGTGGGGGTTAAAGGAAGGGGAGAAGAATAATTGCAGCAGACGCATTTTTACATTGCTTAATTGGAAATCGTTTTCACGAATAGTCTCAATTTTAATAGAAGCGGGGTAACTCAGATACTTTCAACTTTCTTTAAATGACCTTCAGAAACATCTGTATCTATGAAGCATCACTCATTCATATTATAGATCATTTGGATGCCGATTCAGAAATGTTGCAGTTGGGGCGCCTGGGTGGCTGTCATTAAGCGTCTACCTCTGGCTCAGGTCATGATCCCGGGTCCTGGGATGGAGCCCTGCGTCGGGCTCCCTGCGTCGGGCTCCCTGCTCGGCGGGAAGCCTGTTTCTCCCTCTCCCACTCCCCCTGCTTGTGTTCCCTCTCTCGCTGTGTCTCTCTCTGTTAAATAAATAATAAATAAAATCCTAAAAAAAAAAAAAGAGATGTTGCAGTTCATGGACTATTATTCCTCCATCACCACTCCTTACTAAAACCCCCTGTATAATGACTGGTCTATGAGAAGAAGTTTTCTCATGAAATAGACTGGTGCTACGCATTTTTTTTTTTTTTTAAGATTTTATTTATTTATTTGACAGAGAGACACAGCGAGAGCAGGAACACAAGCAGGGGGAGTGGGAGAGGGAGAAGCAGGCTTCCCGCTGAGCAGGGAGCCCGATGCGGGGCTCGATCCCTGGACCCTGGGATCATGACCTGAGCCGAAGGCAGACGCTTAATGACTGAGCCACCCAGGCGCCCTGGTGCTATGCATTTGTTTTTGACTTGGCATTCGGGTTATTTATACATGTGTTGAATCTGTTCTACTGCTACTTCTACCTTTATTGTACATTTATTATGTGTCAGACACTGTGTTAACAGTTTTGTATGCATGCTTTCAGTTGATCCTCACAAGTCTATATGAAGCGAGTCGAAACTGTGCTCCCATTTGGGGGTAGTGCCGTATAAGCAGTAAGATCTGCATGCTCTGAGGCCACACAGCTTGGGTTTGTGTCCTGGCTTCATTTCCTAACTGTATGACCTGGCACAAATTATGTAACCTCTCTAAGCTTCAGTATCCTTATCTGTAAGATGGGGATACAAATCTGGGGATGATAATCATCTCTATCTCAGGCAGTTGCTCTGAGTTTCGGGTAAATGCAAGTGCATAGAAGACCTCCCGCCACCCAGGAGCCACTGTGGTTTGCATGAGGAAACCAAGATTCAATAAAGCTGGGTGATTTTTCCAGGGTCTCCAGCTCGTGAGCTAGAGAGGAGGATTCCAACCCAGCTCCCTTGGCCAGCTGCTATGCTGTGTCACTCAACCTCTAGGCTATATGAAATACCTCCTTCTGAGTGAGCTGAGGGTAGGGATATGCTCCTTCTGCCTGGCACAGCGCTTTGTTCACTATAAATGCTCCACTAACAGCAGATGAATGGTTATAATTTAATTCAGATTTTCTTTTTTTTTTAAAGATTTTATTTATTTGACAGAGAGAGACACAGCGAGAGAGGGAACACAAGCAGGGGGAGTGGGCGAGGGAGAAGCAGGCTTCCCGCCGAGCAGGGAGCCCGATGGGCTCGATCCCAGGACCCTGGGATCATGACCTGAGCCGAAGGCAGATGCTTAACGACTGAGCCACCCAGGCGCCCCTAATTCAGATTTTCTACACTTACGCCAAAGTCAGGCCAAAAGCAAAATAACAACGCCAAAAATAAACAAAAACCCCACCTATAGTTCTAGGCAAGTATGTCCTTAGACAATTGTGTCCAACCACTTTAGAAACACTTGCCCTATTTATTTGTCAGAACATCGCAAGGGAAAGGTAACAATAATTATCTCTGTTTTGCAGTTGGGGAAATTTGGGAGCAGAGGAAACTGGGCAATTTGCCTAGGAACCGAAACAAGTCACGGTGCAGCTGGGAACTGTCTCATGTCTCTACAATCAGGATTACTTGTTCTGAACGGCCTTTCCAGGCACAGGATGAAATGACGTGATGTCCTTTTGCCTCAGACAATAGGATGTTTTTCCTTAGCCAAGGTCTAGGGTGTGAGCCGTCTCCTCAGAGGCAGGATCAAAGGAGTGGGCTGTGTTTGACTTTGCTTCTCCTCTGCCTCTGTGCACATCCGGTCTGAGAAGTGTAGGAGACATAGTCACCATTTTTCTGACAGCTCCTGAGGGCCACAGCTATGGTGGTACTATTGAGGGGTACGTAGGACAAGCATTTCTGAAGATTTTGCCTGATTTGGCTACGGAAATTTCCTCTGGGACCCGAAATATTGACTTCATATTCTAACCACATTCCCCATTTATTTGAGATCGCTTGATGAGATTGATTTCAGGTATTATATTAACCCAATGAGAATGTAGAGAAAGTTGTAGCTGGAAGACTATGGAAAAAAGGCTCGACCAACAAAAATATTCTTTCTAATACTAAAATTGATATTTTATGTTTCTATGAAATGATCAAAGTGAAATTTCTTAGAGAAATCTACATTAACATAGAAATAATTTGGTTAAAGCAAACTGGATTTATATCTTTTTTTTAAAAAAGATTTTATTTATTTATTTGAAAGAGAGAGACACAGTGAGAGAGGGAACACAAGCAGGGGGAGTGGGAGAGGGAGAAGCAGGCTTCCCGCGGAACAGGGAGCCCGACGCGGGGCTCGATCCCAGGACCCCGGGATCATGACCTGAGCCGAAGGCAGACGCTTAACGACTGAGCCACCCAGGCGCCCCTGGATTTATATCTTAAGTGAAGATACGTGATTTATCTCTTAAATGTAATTATGTAGCTACAGAGTTCATTTATAGGTGGCAAAGCTTGAGAATTCTGACTCTGTTACATTAGGTGTTTTCTCTAGATCTTATTAATCTATAACATGATTCAAAAGATCCACTGTATTTCTTATAACTAGATAACCGATTATTATTTTTTTTAAATAAAAAAACCCTGAATCTACAATGTCTTTTAAGTATGGCTTTATTTTGGGAATGTTCATGGGCAGCTATCCAAACTCTTATTGTTTCTAAGGCTGTCATTTCTAAAATAGTTTACGGCTTATGAAGCTGAGAACAATAAACCTGTAATACCCACCTAACAGATGGAGCTGGAGATCAGATTTAGAAATTTACCCAGTGTTTAAATGTGATTGGAGAACTCTGACAAATGAAGTGCTTATTACATTACTGCATATGACCTGACCCACATAACATCAGCATTGGTCAAAAGGGTCTAACAAAAGCCAGTATCAAAGTTGAAGTATTTTTTTTAACCCATGAGGGCTAGGATTCCTTTTAAGAATCTGACAAAAAGAGGTAGGCAAGCTCCTAAAGTCCACCTATGAATTACCCCCTCACTCAGAGGTTCCATGAAGTTAAGAACCTCTGATTTAGGTAAACACAGAGAACACAGTAATCAATCCTCAGGCATTGAATACACCTTTTTGTTATATACAGCACAGATCTCTGGGTGATACGAGAGAAATATCATAGTTCCTGCCTGGTAGGAGTCTAAGACATAAGACATACACTCGTTTTCAGGAGGGGCATGATTCCCTTGGAGTAGTGGAGAGCTCCAGGTAGGAAGTGGGTGTGGATGAAGGGAAGTTGCAGTGAAAGCAGAGTTTCAATAATTATCTTGTCCAGGACTTGGCCTGTAGGACCTTCCTCCTTGCTATGCCATGTATTAGTTTGCTAGGGCTATCATAACAAACTGCCACGGAATGGGTGGCTTACTTATCTAGTAGAAATTTATTTTCTCACAGTTGTGGAGGCTGAAAGTCCAACATCAAGGTGCTGGCTGGGTTGGTTTCTTCTTAGGCTTCTCTCTTTGGCTTGTAGATGGCTATCTTCTTGCTGTGTCCTCACATGGATTTTCTCTATGCTCACACATTCCTGGTGTCTCTTTTCTTAAAAGAACACTAGTCGTATTAGATGAGAGCCCCAAACGTATGACCTCATTTAACTCAAATTACCTCTTTTTTTTTTTTTAAAGATTTTATTTATTTATTTGAGAGAGAGAGAGAATGCAAGAGAGAGAGAGAGCATGAGGTGGGGGAGGGTCAGAGGGAGAAGCAGACTCCCCGCTGAGCAGGGAGCCTGATGTGGGACTTGATCCCGGGACTCCAGGATCATGACCTGAGCCGAAGGCAGTTGCTTAACCAACTGAGCCACCCAGGCGCCCTCAAATTACCTCTTTAAAGGCTCTATCTCCAAATTCAGTCACATTAGGTGTTAGGGCTCAACATGTGAATTTTTGGTGGGGACACCATTCAGTCTATAACACCCCATTATCTTTCATACCTTGATATTTAATTCCCTGTGGGTCTTACTCCTGGGACCCACACTCATTTATCAGTTCTGGCTTAGCTACTGACTTCTACTTGTGCAATCTCCCTCACGTGCCAGCACCACCGTCATATTCTGGCCCTGAGCCATTTCAGATCTCTCAGCTCTCTTTGGTCACCAACCCACTGGGTCAATTTCTGATCATGGGTTCTTGCAGAACTTTACTCTACCCATCCTCTCCTAGCCTGGCTCTTCTGTGGCTTAGTCATACTCTCTAGTTGGTCTTAAGCAGAGGCTTGACTTACAGAAACAGTAAGTAAGAGAGTAGCAAAATATGCATAATATTTTGTTAAATATAATGTGGCTAATGTGATTAACTGCTATTTTTCTAGTAATAACTTTAAAGCAAAAAAAATAAATAAATAAAAGGAGAAAAACCGGTTAGAGTGAGGTGAATTTTACATGTCAGTCTAAGTAGTTTGGCTTTTATTTGTTAGGTAAAAGGGAGCTCTGGAAGGTCTTCCCATTGAAGATTAGGAAGAAGCGGAA